GAGCAGGTCTGGGGAGACTGAATTTGAAGTAAATGAGAGTCCAGACCAGTTTCCTACATCCAAGAGGATACCAGCAACAAGAACAGTACCAGTAAAGAGTCTAGATACAGTCTTAAAACCTCTATTTTTATTACAAATCACCTGGTGTTGTAAAGGCATATTTAAAGCCTGCTTTAAAAGACGTTTTACTGAAATATCAAAAGAAATTGTCTTTAAGAGAAAAGATGGCTGCATCCTGTATTTGGAAACAAGCAGTGGATCATCTAATTCTTCCCTTGAGTATTGGAGCACCTCTGTATAGCTCAATTCTCTTGCAACTATTTGTAGCTCTTGATGTTGCCCATCCAGTGTGTATGTTTTATTCAGAGCTGTGTATGTGGCTGAATGTGTGTGTCTGACTGAGTTATTTTATTAATACTGCATTTGTTGAGCAGTCTTACACAAGTTAAACAGTGTCACAGGTGTTAGAGGAATTTTCTGGAAATTGATGATTCAGCTGGAGTTCATGTATACGTATGGAAATGCAACTTGTGGCCAGTTTCTCAATTTTAACTAAGAAAGCTCAGACAGTCATAAAATAAAATGATGCTTCCAAACACCAAGATAAAAAATATGTTGTCCACTGGCTGCTCACACTTTCCGAGAGTATTTGTGCTTGAATCCGCTGTACAGCTATCTTTGTCTTCTTTAAAGATCCATTTCAAGCAAAAAAAGACATCAGCAGGAAAATAAAATCGCTTCTGAGCACATAAAACAAAGTTGTAAGTCTCTTGCTCATTTATTCAGTATTTCAGCATCTTTTTTCCCTCTCATTTTTAAATTCAAATGCAATAAACCCCTTGAAACTCAGGTTTTGTTTAGCTTGCTGAAACAGCTAGGGAAACAAAACATCATTAGAGCTGCAAGCCAGGGCAGGGCAGAATACTCTAAATATTTAAAGACTTATTTAGATCAACACTTGAATTAATTAAAAATGGATTAAAATTAGCTTCATAATGAGAAGCAGAGGGAGCAAGCTGGAATATCAAATGATTCCTTAGCAATTTACTGAATATTTTACTTTTCTTCACTTTACTGTTAGATTCATCTAAATTCAAGATAAACATCATGATGACCCTCGAAATCAGTCAGGAAAATAAACAGGATGCTAGCAAAATATGGGTAGCAAGCTGTGTAGACACTGGCCAAAAAAAAGTCCTGTGAAGACAGCATGATCCAACCTTTGGACTATGCAGACATCAGAAAGGAAAGGGAAAATATTACCTACAATTAAACCAACACCTAAATTAGTTGATGTCAGTCATAAGTCTAAACCAAAACTGTATGCTGAAAGGCATGCAAAAGAGAGCAAGCTCAGAGACTCATCACAGACTCTGGATTGCCCCTGGTGAAATAGCTGCTAGATCAGAAGTAAAGCTGGACCCCTCAAACAGGGATTTTGTCTCATGAAAAAAATATGAGGGTTTGACATTCTTCCTGAATGTGCCTGCATGCGTATGTGTGCATATCCAGCTCTGTTTGCATGTATGCTAGGGGTAGCTGCCCCTCCAAAAAGACAATGCAGCCACAACTGTGGGCATCTCCCAGTTGAGATGCTCCACTGGGTTGCTGGGAGGTGACTCTTCCTTTTGATATGGAGCAGGGATATGAACCTCCCTCTCTCTTCCTTTATGTGATAAGGGAATCAAATACACCTTCCAGTTGCTGGTAATTGCATGTTGTTGAAAAAGAGTTTTCTGTTCTACTCACACATGAACTTGCTGCATCCTCTGGCCTGGCTCAGGACAATGGCTCCTCACTGCCTGTGCACATTTTTCCTCTTAGAGGAAGGCTTTTCCAATTCCCACTGGCTGCTCGTGGATAAAGACAGTATACACTCCCAAAAACCCCATCCAGCCCCTGAACACAGCAAGGGAGCAGGGCTGGATCTCACTTGCCCTTCTGGAAGTGCACAGAGTCACAGCCCCACCATGGACTGAAGGGTCCATTCCGCTTTTTAAACACTTCCTGGGAAGGTTTCAAAAGATGTTTGTGAGGACTGAACATCACTGAAAATAAATCCCACATTTTTTCTCCAGAAGTGAAGCTCTGTCTGCTTAACTGCACTCCACAAGCAGCTGCTCACCAACATGTGGACAAATACTAGGCAAAATAGGGAGAAAGAAGAACTTTTCCAGCTTGAACAAGTTGAGCACAGGGATTACTGTGAAAAAGATGAATTTCTTGAACAATGACAAAGCTTCTCATGCCCAAGTTCTGAGAAGTGATTATGAAGAAAACCTTTCTCAGGAAGATTTCCATAGCAGTACTGTATTTTCAAGAATCTAGGGTAGAGTTCAGCAGTACATGAAGATTTTGTGCTACAAAACACCCTTAAGACCTCAAAAGCCAGGACTGCTTTCTTGGCCTTAGCACAGGTTTGCAGTGTAAGCCAACAAAAGTCACTTCTTCATTTCTTGGCTTCCAAATTTCAACATGGAGCCACACTAGACGCTTCCTCGTGATCCCATGGGGACCTACACACCAGTGGCTCCCCAGTGCCACATGGATGGATGGATGGATGGATGGATGGATGGATGGATGGATGGATGGATGGAAACAGCTAGGATGACATTACACCATTGAGGAAATTTAATGCAGAAAATTAAACTTAAAAAGTCAGTTTTCTACACAAAATTCCTTGGAGTTTTTTCCAGTGAGGAGTCGTTTGCTCAGAACAGTCATGGACTGTTCTAATTGCCAGGGGTGGACAGGTTAAATGAAGGGGAACCCAACACATGTTTCCCAGCCAGAGCTGTTTTTGACAAACTTAGTTTGGTTTTGGGTTTTTTTCCCCTCAAAATCCTCCATCTGAAATGCAACTGATTAGCAACAGCTGTATTCCGCTTTGTCAGACCCTTCTGCTAGAGGGAACAGAGCAGGATATTGCTCTGATTAAAACCATTCCACTTGGTATGAGTCTCTAGAGGTTATAACTGAAACTTGTCTAGTTATTTAACAGATTTATTTAACTTAAATCTGTTTCAAACCATAGTTCCACCTGACCTTGCTGGTGATGTTACCATGTCATCGTGAAAACAGGGGTTTGCACTTGATGTGAGAATTGTAAAAACAATGGTCTGGAGGCCAAAGGCTGGTGCTTAATTTCCATAGTACGAGGAATGCGAGCGCTGCAAATCCCTCGTCCTTAGCAGAGATACAGAGCAGTATCGGGGTGAGATGAATATTTTGTGTTCCCAGCCATCACATCTAAGTTACTACATTTCCCGAGCACTTCATCACTCTGAAGCACTACAACTTGGCGCCATTTGTGTGGCCCAGAGGAACACATGTTATATAAAAGGGATTTTTCATCACCCTAATTAAATTCTGAAAGTCAGACTGCAGAGTTACTGTTCAACCTGCACAATGATGCTAACCCTTATAGCATCTCCCATCCTGTGCTGATTTTCCTCTGCTGGGGTCACGAAATAGCTGAATAACCCCTTGCTGTTACTAGCTGTCAGCTAAGAAATATGGCCAAGTGACACCACACTGTACTGCAAAGCTGAGCAAAAACTACAACAAAGCAAATAGTGGCCACTTGGTCTATAGAAAAACGCTTTTGTAATAGGACAAGCTGAAAGTAAGCTCCAAGCAGGTCATGGTGGACCTAGATGAGACTGAGAGGCTGGTCAGTGCTTAGCACAAAGCCTGTTTACAAGCAGAGGCAACTGCACATTTAACTGGCCTACAGGAGTTCATAGGAACAGAAAGGCCCTTGAAGGAAACTCTCAATTAAAAATTCTCTCACCAACTCATTACCCAGTGGTGTACTTAAAGGCCAAAGGGGAAAGGGTCTGGGGCTGTTCCCATCAGGCTTCATCTGCCATCAGCAGAGCTCCTAAAAATTTCAGTTTCAGAGAAAACACATTGATTTGCTCTTTCTAATTCAGAACAACGGGATGCATTAAATACAGGAATTATGTGGTTTGCTGTTGTTTGTATTTTACTATTTTATTATTTTTACCTTAGTGACGCTTGCTGAGCAATGTGTGGTAGACCAGACCAGCCAAAGACACATAGCAAAGATGCTCCAGTCTGTACTATTGGCCTAGTGGCTGCCTTCCTTAGTAAAACCCAACTAGATGAAAAAAGAGAGTATTAAAACACATAATCAAAATAATGAGAAAAATAAAATCTAATTGCGGCCAAGCACATCATTTAGAAAAAAAAAAAAAAAGAAGAAATTGAACCTCCTCAGTCTTATGAGAGTTATCTAGAATTGTTTTTTTCTCCTTTAAAAATGTTTTCCCCGAAGCAAAAATGTAAAAAATATGCAATTTGTCAGGAAAGAAAAAAAAAAAAGAAAGAGAGAAAAAATAAACAAGGCAGTTTTTAATAAACCAATATTTCAGTAATAACATAGCTGGGTTTTGAGGTGGGATCGTTAGCAGCCTTAGCATTGCCCTGCTGGCAGGTGCACCCTGGCAGTTTGCTATGGCTGCCCCGTACCCTTCCCTGTAATGCTCTGTGCCAAGGGTGACACGTGCCAGCCCTGCCTCCTTAGCCTCACCAGCAGCAAGCACAATCAGAGGGACAGGGCTGGTGGGGCACAGGGAAGAGGCAAGCTCTAGGAAGACACCCTGATATCAAGAGTCTTCCTTCCCACATATCCGCCTCCTTCAGTGGCCTCTCTCCCTCCACTGACCACGTCCCTGCCTGGGATGCAAGCCCTGCCAGAAAGCTGCGGGAAGGCAGGGTTAGCTTCAGAGGCTATAATTAAACTTCAGAGCTCCATGACACCACTGTCCAAGCATGTCTGACAAGAACATCGCTGTGGGTCCTCCAGTGCAGAGCAGCTGGAAACAGATACTTCTGATGATGCCTCAGAGAGGGGACAAGGTTGTGCAGCGGACATCCTGGCTGATGTACGTGTCCCTTCAGCAACCCGCTGCTGTTATGGGCTGCCAAGACTGTGAAGTCAGCATAACACTGGGAGGGGGAGGGTACAGAGGGGTGATTTTATTTATCATATCTTGTTACTTGATTTTATGTATTTTCCCAAACAGATAGTGTGAGTCTGTTAGGGAATGAGAGGTATGGTTTACAAGCATTGAGAAACGGAGGATGGGCAACCTAGTTTAGCACAGGACATGCTTCAAAACAGTTTGCAGAGATGTGCAAGGCCACTCACACTTGTAATTATGTTTCTTACACTGAAGTTTGGGTTCCCTGTGGCTCTGGATTGTTTAGGCTTCTTGGACTAGATGGGCAGGTAGATGCAGCTCTTTGTATGTACAGCACAAGGAAAATGTCAGACTTTAGGGGATATAAATAGATGTCACAGGTAGGTTTTTGTGTTTCTGACACTTGCCTGAAATATTAAGAGGGGAAAAAAAGGCATCTGTCATGACACTTCATTCATAAATGGCTCTTTTCTGGAGAGGGATGGCAGAGGTGTGAAACAGGTTTGTGGAAACCAGCCCACAAATCAGTTTCTTCACTTTCTTCCACATAGCAAAGAAATATTATGCATTGCCCTATTTTGACCCATTTCTAGGGCTTCTCCAGTCCTACACAGTTCTTCCTGGTCAACCTGAAACAATCAGGAAATCTTATTGAAAAATACCCATCCTCTGAAAGGTTTCAGCATTTCCCATGTTACACTGGACAAACATCATCTCAGTCAGGTGTTTCTTGTGCCATCCCCCTTCAGAGCCCCAGTAACAAGGAGAAGCCTGTGAAAATGCAAATAAGGCCATCAGGAAGACTGTTTTCAGATCATGTTTCGTGTGAAGTTTGCAGTTTAAATCTATCCATTTTCTTCCTCTTTTGCCTGCTACCCTGCTGATATTTGGAAATTGTAATATGCAATTATTTGTCAAGGAGATACAAATCACATGCAAAGGATGTACTTTTTGGGAAGATGAGTGAAACAGAGGCAGGAAAGTGAGAGAAGGTACCCATGAGAAAAAGAAATCCTTCTCAGTAGTTATTTTCTAGGTTGAGATGGTCTAAGTACCAGCCTAAGGACTTTGTGGGCTCAGGGGGCAGATAGAAATGGAAATTCAACACAAGAAATAAAAACTTCACTGCAAATGCTGTGCCTTTCCACACCAGGCGGTCTGCAACCACTTGTACACACACCATGTAGTCAGCACATCATCATCTCACTATGAAGGTACTTTTCCCTGTATCCCTGTGACCACACCATGCTATTTGGAAAGGCGGGTATCAGCATGACAGCCGCGTGCGCCATGGTGTCTCTGGGCTGGGTACACATGGGTTTCTCTGCATGGGGCAATAGCATTTCCCTCAAACCACAGGCTGGAGTCTGAGCAGATGATTGACAAGATGTTTTGTCATCTCCAGCTCTGCCCCAGGATGGGAATAGCCCGCATTACAGAATTCAGAGCTGGTAATGAAAAAAATCATCAGTAGCATTGTATCATTCTTAGGAGGGAGATTGTGTATTCAAAACAGCCTATTGCCCCTAGCAGTTAGGGCTTAGACTGAGTAACTCCTGTGGAGTTTATCATATTCCACCCATCCTGTTTTTGCCAGTTATGTTGCCTGCAGGACAAAGGCATCCTGGAGGACCAGAGCAAGCACAGGAGCTAGCAGCTTCCATGCATTAACCATTAACCTGAGAAGGCTGATAATGAGATGAGAAGTTTTCAACTTCATTTTTTTTAACTTCTCTGTATGACTATTCACACTCTACCAAGTAGAAGAAACTCATCAAAGAAGACAGAAACTTCAGGATGCCAAAAACACCATTTCCTAGAAATCACGTGAAAGTGTACCTCCCTTTTCATATAGTGGCCACAGAAGATAAGTTGTCTGGACAACATCTTAGGAAAAGAAATGCCAAAAAATTGTACAAGCCTCACAAGGTTTTAAATAGAGACTGTGTTATAGAGGTAGCACCATGCTGCTTGGGAAGGTGTATTTTTCCACAGACACCATCAATTCTGGCTTCAATGTTCTACCTGCCCTCTCTTCTCCCTTCTCTTCCGTACTTCAGCAGCTATCATCTTCACCTCATCCTCTGTCTTTCTCTCACTTGGGTCACACCAGCTCTTGAACCGTCTCATCTCCTAACACCTTTCCCCAGTTTAGCCTGCATACTCATCCATTAAATCAAGAAAACTAGCCATGGAACAGAACAGAAATCCCTGTTTCTGGATGATTAGTCAAGAAACTATAGCAAAAGAGTGAACTTGTTGCTATCATGACCTAATTCTGTATTTGCTCCTCCTGTGTCTATGCAACATGGTAAAACAGATTTCAAGGACCAGCTCCAGATGCTGGTGGTCCAGCCAGGTGATAAACATGGATGAACAAAGACCCACGTGTCTCATAGGAATGCATAGGAGGCATATGTGTCTCAGACTCCACCTTACTCCTCCCTACACCACTGTTCATGTTCCCAAATAAACAGGAAGGCATATATGAATGTTTTCTATTTGAAGACACAGTAAGTTAGTTGTTTCTCTGTTTTCCCTACTTGCTAGAAAAAAGCTCTTGGCTCCACACCCACCTTTCTTACCTATGTCTTTATGCTTTATGTTGTTCTGTACATTGAAGGGGTACGGAGCTCTTTGATTTCACTGTTCCTGAACAACTATGAATAGAGTATTTCTGTCCCAGATATGAGCAGGAACATGGTAAATTACATATATTTGAGTATTACAGTTGAAGAATCTGGCATCCATTTCCTAGGAAGGCAGGAAGCCTTTTTCTTAAAGCCTTCCCACATTTTGTTAAATGAGAACGCCACTCCTGAATCACACTGAAGTTGAGGCAAAATAAACAATCTCTTACATAAAGTAAGAAAGTCCAGAGGGAAAGCTAGCGTGAGTAGAAAGTAAACTTCCTTGTTATGCAACACATCTTGCCTAACTCTTTAAAGAAAACCTTAGGAACTGAAGCTAAAACAGCAGATGCAGTATGATCTTATTTCCTGTTGAACATGTACTCTCTCCAGCCATACAAGGGCTGTGTGCAGCTGATCATCAATGCAGACCACTTCTGCTTGCAAAGCAGCTCGTGGCTGGTTCACATCAAGAATGGAAACACTTCAGGCATGCACAGCACTTGATTGCATACAGACATGTCAACACTGATATAGTTGTATTGCTGTTTTAATGCCCTTTTTCCTCTGTCTCCACGGAAAATTGAATAACCCCTTTCATTTCCTAGCTGGGGTTCATTGCTTGCACACATCTCTGCAAGTCCTTCAGGCAAATCCACTTACAAAGATAGCATCACTGCATCAAGTCTGAGAAGTGAATGTCTCTTTTCAAAGCCATTCAGTCCACATCCAAGCACTAGGCATCTCACAGGCATGCACATGCCTGCAGATACTGCTCACCAACCACCAGAGCAGAGCCAGCATCCCCAGTACAGACTACTAAAAATAGTCTGAAAGCACATTTTCAGTATCACATGGCAGAGCTGGTTAAAGTCAGGAGCAGTGTGGGTTTTATCCTGATACAGGATCTGTAAGAAGCAGGGCTGGGGAGATACTGTCCTGCTCTGAAGCAAGGTGCAACCTGTGAAGCACCTGGAAGCATCTTACCTGCTCAGGATGAAGCATCTCCCTGTCTCTGCTGAGTTTCTAGCAGCATGCTTAGCTTCTAATTTGAGAATGGAAAAATAAAGTCTGGCATGCCACCCTTGAAGTACAGCCCACCCATCTATTATGCCAAAACTAGTGTTTATAGCTTCCCTCAAAAAAGGTCATTGAGTACTCTTCAGCACTACACAGCGTGGGACTGTGTATCCACATGAGATGTCAGAAAGCTCACTAAAATGGGAACTTAGTTCTATGCAGAACTATATTTCTGTAACTCACAAAACCTTCCTTAAAGCTATGGATTTCCACCTCACATTAGCAGTCATAGCAGTCACCTGGGTCTCCTGTCTTTTCTGCTGAACCCAACCACCTTAGTGAAGCCTGCAACTCATAACAAAGACAAATCAAGCCTTTGTGATGTGATGACTTTAAAAAGATACATGAGAAGCAAATTATCTAGCATAATCTGAAACAGAAAACAGCTTTCCTTCATATTTTAATACCTATACATCTATAGCTAGTAATATCCGGATTGCAGGCTATGTGCGTGGCCTCACACGCTGGCTGAAAAAACGTTATGTTTAACATTAAAAACTTTTAAACCCTGAATTTAAAGGGGTAAAAATGGCAACATTAATTTGCTAGAGCAGTTCATAATTCGGCCTGGGAAATGCAGTTTGCCTTTCACTATTACAAAAAAAAAAAAAGTACTTTTGCACACGAATTTCATCACTGTGCAAAATGTTCACCATCAACATCTTTGCTTTTCTTCTGTAGCAAGTGAAGACGTGGAGTTCCCCCCCCCCCCAAGACCACTAGTCCAGAAAGCAGTCCTAATAAAAGTTTTGGTCCAAGCCATTCAAATGCATGAAAGTGAAGAACCACTTCAAACCATGTTTTGTTGTCTGTAGGTCAAATTAAAATTAGCCTTGTACTAGATAATACAAATGGGCGTAAGGCCCCACCACACTTCCTACAATATCTGTGTCTTGCGTTGAGATCATGATGGAGCTCAGCCTCATGTTGCCAAGCTTTTTTTGGGACAGAAATGACACAGTCTGTATATAGTGAAGTTGCCCAAATATTCCCTAACTCCTGAAAGACCTTTTCGCACCTATGTTCCCAGCACTGAGCTTTGCAACCAGCCCTTAGAAAAAACAGTAATTTCCCATTTCATTGTGCTTAGAGAGTCCCTTTTCAGCTAAATGTCAGGGTTTTTTTTCAGCCCCTGCCATCAATCAGGCCCTTTTACTTTGAGGCCAGGAGAGGAGAAGGGCTCCCAGTCACAACTCACTGTGTCTGACCATAGTTGACCACTTTGTGGGTTCTCTGGTTCCTCTGGCAGAAAATCACTGTGATTAAGTGTCAGGAATTTGATGAGGAAACCTTTCCTTATACTGGAGGCAGGAGGCTTCACTGGCCTCCTTTTTTCACTTTTTGACAATGTATCAAAGTCACAACATAAAAAGCCTTGGAATTTTCCAACATTTCTGTTTCCTTTAAAGGCAAGAAAAGGGCTTTCTAGGAAAAAAAAAAATAAAATTCCTTTAGTCTCCAGACATTTAAAATGCAGCTGGAGGAACAATTTTTACCAGTTTTCCTCCAGCAAGCAACTTGTGTAAATGGTGGGTTTGGAGGAAAAAGGAGCACATAGATTAAATAGATATTGAGATTAAATACATATTAGCTGTTGTAGCATGGGAAACACAACCTTAAGTTGCTGCCTCTTGGCTGGTTGATTTAGCAGGCTTATTTAGGCAATTATGCTGGAAAAAGTGGCTGAGGGACAGGACTTGCTTTCTGATTTTTATGGTGTTTTCTTGGTTTTTAGTTTTTACATGTTCTCATTTTGGAGGCATTTTCAGAGCTCTTTTTTTTTGTTGTTTGTTTTGTTGGTTTGTTTTAAGCAACTAGGAATGGGTTCCCAAGCCTGTGGAAGTGAAAATGTGGATGAGGGCCTGCCTAATTCAGGGATGCTGGGAGTAATAGCTCTTCACACATGGTGACTTTTGTAGACAATTGTTCAGCTGAAGAAACCCATGACTTTGCACCTCAAATTGTCACAACTTTTCATTTCACAGAACCCATGATAGAGCTCCATGAAAATCCAGGCTGCCACCAGCTCCTCCAAAGCAATGAGAAGAATTTGTATGAATTTTTTTAACAGCTCTTTAGAGATACATCTCCTCAGTCTATGGTTCTCTGGTTTCTCTTCTGCCTTTTCAAGTTCCTTTCCACAGTCTGAAAATTCAAGTTCATGTCAAGTTCACTTCTTATTTTGAAATATTCACTTGAAGCCAGGAAGCACAGCAGGAAGTATAGACGGTACTATAGTACCATGACACTTTGAAGTTTTCCAGATTTGGTGCACAAGTGTCAAGCACACAACTTAATCTTCAGCTGTAATCTTTGTATATATTTGACAAGAGGTCCAACAAAACATCATGAATACCAACATATAAATAATTGGAAAATGTTTAAATTTTCCCAGCAGTTCCAAAAGAAAAGCAACTTATCAAGAGCAATCTTTTCACCAAAATGTGCGAACTTTGGAGGAAAAAAATCAGTTCTAAGCTCTCAGTTATGGTTATAACAGCTTCCTCACTAGGGTTATTGTTCCTTGCAGCAGCCATCTCTCAGGTATTCTCCTGTCAGTCTACCCAAGAAATCTGTAGAAGCTGTTCCAAAAATGTTTGAATAATTAAGCATTATGTGAAGTGAAAATTTATACCGTTTATATCATGAATTTATACTTTCCATATTCCATGTAAAGATGGTAACAAAAGGACCATGCACTATGCTTTTCTTTAATCCAGCTAATTCACCACAGACAGAGCCACATTAGAAGCAGAAACTACCCAAAAGCTAGAGGACGTGTTACAGGGATTTGACATTCAAGTCCCTGCCTATATAATACAGGAAAACTCAAAAAAATGCTTGTTGCATCCCTAGGTGGAGGATGAATTTTTTCAAAGGCAAATATTTGCAAGATTTATTAATATGGATACCTCTCCTCTGAATCCTTATGATGAAACACAGACAACTATAAAGATTCAGTCATATCCTCCATCTGAAATAGGACACACACAAAAGACGAGCCTGAGAGAATAAGAACTTGGTGTTTCCACCCTCAGGTCATAGCTCAATTTTCTAATTAACATGATGTTTGCACCCAGAGACTCTCTCCCATACTTCAGCTTTTCCTGTGTGATTTGTTATCCCGTATGAGTGACAGTTTCTTTATGGTCTTTATTTTACCATGAAATGTCTTTTACCTTTAATCATGCATTGGCACAGAGCATATGCTACTGATTATGAATTGGGCTGTATTTAATAGGCATGCAAACATTTGGCTTTGGTGAAATGCAATGAGCTTCCAGCTCCATCTATTGGTTTAAGAGGTGGTATTTAGGTGAAATTTAAGAGCTGTTATAAAAGCCAGGAATGGAAAAACTCATAGTGAAGGAATACATGATCTTCTCAGAGACTATCTCTACAATTCTTCAAAGACAAAACAAAATAGTTAAGGCAACTAGGTAGAAAATTTGAAAGTCCAGTGCCACCATATGGGTGGCATATTCAATGACCCAAGCACTTCAGCACTCCATTCTTTTCAGTGACCACAAAGTACTTGTATTAAGTGTAGGAAAATGTCTGCAAAATAAATATCTTTAACCCTAACATATTTTTCAAAGACATTAAGTGGTTCATTCAAGGATGGAGCAGTGGATGTGAACAAAACCAAGCTCCTCAGTAAATAAGCAGGTCATTTCCCTGGACTTTTCTAGCAAAACAGCAGAATGGTTGTTCTCAGGGGAGTGACTGACAGTAACCCATAAGTTATTTCAGCTGTTTTAAAAAGAACTATTCCACTAAGATCCTATTTTGTGGATTAAAGCTGAATTTATTGTTTATTTAAAGCTACATTTACTATTTATTAATACAGAAAAAAAGATCAAAGTCAGCTACATACTAATCACACCTCAGTTATGACATCCAGTACCCAGCAATGATGTTGACCACATTTATTTTCAGTATGTTTTGGAGTTCTGATAATAAAATCAGGTATCTTATAAACTGATAGTCTAGAGATTACCTACCTCTTATACCAGATAAACTGAACTACTAGAATTAAAGAAGGAATCTCTGGCTGGGGCCCTAGCCCTTTTTAGGAATGCTTGGTAAAGCAAATTAGATCTAGTTATAGAGGTTGTAGATGTTCCATCCCAAGAAACATTCAAGGCCAGGTTGGACAGGGCTCTAAGCAAGCTGATGTAGTTAAAGATGTCCCTGCTCATCGCAAGGGAGGTTGGACTAAATAAAATTTAAAGGTTCCTTCCAATCCAAGCCATGCAATGATTCTATGATTCTGTGTGTTTTCTTAATCTTTTTCTAGAAAACCCATTTTCACGCTTAAAACTTCTATCTTGCTCCTGAGGTGTATGGGAAAACACCAGACCTGTTCCTGCTGTCTGGTCACAGTGATTCAATATCCTGGAGGACAGCAGACACCACACTACAGAAAGAATGTCAAAGATGACACACAGCATGTCCTGATACAACTTTCTAGTATTTCTAGCTCTTTCTCCCTGCAGAAACCTCAAGAGTACCTGCTCTTCTTGCCATTCAAGTATATTTGTCCTCTGAAAGGTCTTACATTATATTTACCCTCCAAATATCCACCTGGAAGCAGCACTCTGCCCTTAACATTGATTAATTACTATCAAAAAATTTCTAGTTTGCATTTTCAAAGCAGAAGTTCATCCTAATGGAACTTATAGCTCTTCAGGGGAAACTAATGAAAGTAACTTCTCCTTTGCAAAACGACCTGCCCGAGATTTAATCTTCCTTTATTGCAATTACTTCTGTTCCATGAGAAAAATCTCATAAAATTGTTATCATTGATGCTAGCTTGAAGCACACATTAATTAAGAAATGAAGCTGTATTTCTAATAATACTGCTTTTGTAATGCAATGTCTATCTCCTGAAATGAACTGCAAGCTACTAAAAATAGCAAAATGAAAACCCTTTGGGGAAATACTGCCTCTGAAATAGAAACAGCTTCAGATTTTAATTCAGCACACAAAATTCCTCTGCTCTAATCCCCTTCTGTTTATAGGAAAGGAGCCAATAGAAAATAGATTTGTAATTAAAATCCTTGGAATTCATGCAGTCAAGCTATTTATTAATAGCATCATTTTTAGACATTGGGCTAGCACAAGGATATCACTGTTCAAGCTTTATCACCATATCTTTTAATTCTTCTGTTTGCATTTAGCTCTACCAACCATTTCCAAATATAAAAGCCAATTCTTTCATTAGTGAAGAATTAGAGCCCCACACAAATATTTTGTCTAAGAGAGTCTATTTTTTTGATACTTCTGAGGGGTTTCTCTTTTAATAATCCACTTCTTTTTTTTTCTGTGGCAATTACACAATTGGTTATTCAGTTGATTAGTTTTCTTGTAACTCTTCTAGAACTTACAGCCTTCATTTTTATTTTCCTTTTCATAAAGAGATTTCCAACCAATTTGGAATCAACATACTGTTAACAGAGCTGAATCTGTTTCCAGCTGCAAATACTAGGTAGAAATGCATAACAGGAATGTAACTCAACACAAATGGAAAGTCATAAAATATAACTTTTTACATCCGATAAAAATTCAGTTGAAATGGAGTTATGGCTTACATTCCAAAACTTTGTGTGATATATACTACCCTGAAAATAAGCAAAATAAAACAATTTAAACTAAATAAAGAAAATGTTTTGCTATAAAGACATTTAAAGTCGATTTTAACACAAAATTCACACATGGTATAAAAAAAAAAAAAGTACTAAGCAATTAAGCCTGTGTTTGAGGCATAAAACCTCAGTCTCAAATCTCCTAGACGTATACAAAGCATTTTTGCACATCTTCCCCTGTTACAGTACACTTCCAAAGCAGCTTTGGGTTGTTTTGATGTAGACTTCACCCTACCTGGAAAAAGACATGAAGATAATTTCTCTGAGACTTTTACAGAACACAGAAAAGAGATTTTGGTTCATGAAGTATTATGGCTAGCAAACTAATAATAATAAAGAAAACTTTCAAAACTTGAGTAAATTATTGCCATAACTTGACAAGGAAATTTAAACACTATCTTTATTACTCCACCAAAAGAAAAAAAAAAAAAAGGTGGCCTGATACCAGGAACTGAATTTCACAAAGGATTTTCTTTTTAACAATTTTGAACAAAAAAAAAAAAAAAAAAAAAAAAGAAAAAAGGACTTTACTGAGAACATCCGGAAAACTGAATATACTCTGAAAGAAAAAAAGCTGTAATTTTGATCACTATACACCATTTCACTTAAAGAAAATAAGATTTTCTCATCCCCTATTTCCCACTGCTTTAACTATTGAGCAGAATCAGCAACCACAGCACAGTGCTCCAGCAGCACTTGGTCAGGATTAACCTCCTCTTATGAATAAGGTCAGAGTGAGTTCATCCAAAATGCTTAAGCAATCAAAGGTAAAATATGAAATAAAAATCAAGAGATAATGTCTGTTCCTGCTGATTACTGAGCATAATTCATACTCAATGCCTGAATGCATACTCAGAATGTGAATTCACACATACTCAGCCTACGGGAATCCCTATCATGGAAAACTTGCCAGAAAGCTGATTCAAGAGAAAAGATTTAGCTTAGGAGAGTTAAAAAAGAAAATATAATTCTCTGCACTTACCAAGTAAAACAATGAAATGGAGGATGTGTTTCTGCAGGATGTATTAGGAAATGCCATATTGCATCATATCAATAGTCTTTTAGACAATTTTAGAACAATTATTGGTAAAGTAAGATGATTCTTAATTTCTTCTATTAAAGGCTTCCAATCCTAGTCTACTAGAGAAGCCACTAATAACTATCCATTTTTCAAGTAAGTTCTTGCAACAAATGTCCTTCATTTTCATTGAAGCAGACAAGAAATGTGCTGCCAAGGAAGCAAACTTGAAAATTTTACTTGTTATATGCTCAAGATGTTATTGATACCCAATACAGACATCATATAGCAACAGTAGAAACATACATATATATTTAAAAAAAAAAAAATCTACTGTTAAAAGTGTTCTATAATCAAGACAACCACAAAAAAAAGATTAGCAGCAGGTGAATCAAAATTTGATCCCAGATATCTATGCTCTACAAATGTGAATGACATTTGCCATTACGGAATTCACACTGAAACCAAAGGAAAAATAAGGCAGCTGTAGTGAAACTGCCACTTTCTGTGACACTCAGAGACAACCCTGAGTCAGAGTTTTGAGAAGAAAATAATCTCTTCATTTATCACTAGACTTCCTTCAAAATTAATTTCCATATGTCAGTGGGAAGCATATTAATCTCCCTCTGTAATTTTATCAGGAACTTATCAAAACAATAGGAATACTACTCAACATTGTTTTCTCAGTGGTGTTTCTAGACAAAGTAAAGACACTTGAGCTGGTCTCATTAGCAGCTGCTTCTGGGCTGTGAGATCTTTACCATGTATATACATGGGCCATAAAGAAGGAAGAGAATCATGGAGCAACAACTGATGAAATACAGAGCAGTGCAGTTCATTTTAAATTATATTTCCAGGAAACTGAGACAAAATTAGATTTATAAAGATTATGATGGGAAGAGGTTTCTGCTCAGATGAGCTGGTATCTATGGGTCACCAGATCTTGAGGACATGGCAGATTTGCTGGCTGTACAAGGAGAACCTGCCAGGTACAGATAGCCCATGTATTGATAAGCAAAATACCTACTACAAGCAGCAGCAAACAGAGTAACGTCAGTTGCAGACAGTGGCTCTCTAACACTTGAAAAAATATTTGTGACTATGATGTTAAATACTCCAAGTAACATAGATATAAAAACAAGCATCTGGGGAAACAGGTTTACAGCCAGAGTAGCATGAATGCTCTTTGCAACCTTTCTTCCCTGAAAAATATAACTGGAGTCATTTGGTCTTCTGCTAAAATGAGATTTGCTATATTTCAAGGAAGGGATTAAAGTATAAATCCTTCTAATTTGCACGGAGAGGTGACCACTGAATTCATCACATTGCTTTATTCATGTCTTCTCCCACATTCCCTCCCCTTCTAGATCTTCTAATTTGAGTTTCAGATTCAAATAGCTGCAATTATGGAACAATTCAATTACAGGGTGAGGAAAAGGAAAAAAAAAAAACACACCACCAGAGCATGGTTTGGCAGGACATGTTCTGGTTTTAAACAAGGATTAAAATGAGAATTATTCAAAAGCAAATAAATCTATGCAAGCAATTAGCACAAATTCCTATAATCTTGGATTAATTCAGCTCAACAGGCTAGTCAGAGCAGGAATTTTCATTTTTATAGGTGTTGTTCAAGGCATCTGTACAGACACCTAGAGAATACACTCATCACAGTTACCAAAGTTGGATTTTAAGAACAATTAAACCTAAATTTGTTAAACTGGCTGAAGTCTAGACTAAGAACCAACCTTAAAACCAGCAAGAAGGCTATTTTAATGGTCCTCTTGTGTGAAGCCAAGTGGATATTAGAAGAATTTTAAGAAACAAAATCTGATGCAGACTGAAATTATAAGGAAAAATAATTCATCTTCTTTTCGTAATAGCAAACAGCCCTCTGGCTGACATTTCATAAACTTCAACCCATAGTCTCAAGTTCCTTAGAATTTAAGACATACTTTGGAAAGCAAGAATTGATTAAATCCAGGTTTCCTGTGTATGTAGGACCCATTCAATCAGGACTGCAGCACAGGGATTTCCAAGCATGGGACACTCAGCCCAGAAACACTGCCCCACCAGCTTACTCATCTGGGGTAAAACATCAGGGGGGCAATACAATCTGAAAATCTGATGCAGAGCTTTATAACTATCAGTTATAACTTCGTAACTGATAACATGGTAATGTCTAGGTCACTGAAGATATCACCATGCTATCAGGTTTTCTTGCCTCACACACAAGAAGAGGCAGCAGTACACCTACAGGATATTTGCACATCACCCACGTACCAATACCAAGGGAAATTGACAGTTTTGGGGGATCATTCAGTCTCAGAACTGAAAGCTGGAAGGTAGAAAAGAGTTACAGCTATGCCTGCATAATGTATTCTAAATCAGGTACAGACATCAGGCACAGACACCTCATCAGCAATGAAGAATTATTTCATATAGTTTCAGACATATTACATCAGCCTTTGATAAAGGGTAATCAAAGGTTAGTCTTGGCAGTTAATTATTTGTTTGGAAGTATTCTATTGAATTAGTGTGAATTGTTTGAAATACATTGCACTCATAAGGTATAAAATAGGTTCATATGAAAAAGGTAGTAGGTAACAAAGGGAACCTGGTACCTTGAGTTTAAGATTCCATTTCATGGCCATGACTGAGGTCATGTTTCAGGTTAGGAACGTGGTGTCCAAAAAGAACAGAAGCACCTGCATTGTCTCTGTAATCGTCCCTATGACAGTTGTGATGATTGATGCACCTTGTTCAGCCTTCCTGGACTACAAATACCCACCTGCCAAAACAAAAGAGGTCCAAAATCAAAAGAAAGAAATACATTACATTTTATAAATAACTTTAGTTTTATTAAGGTTTAGCTCATCAAGCTATGCTTAAAGCTAAGACAAAAGTTAGACTTCGAATTCCTAAGGGACCTCTATTAGCTATTAAGGCTTACATTACAAAAGTCAGTAAGTGATTGGGCTACATGAGACATAACTATGAGGTTACTCAATTACATCCCTGGGTGACTAACAAGACTAGGATTCTGAACAGTGAAACATATCTCCAGGCATAAGAGAATTCCATTCAGGAATCTGATCAAAATAACCTTAAGGTTAAAATTAGTCGCATCAAACATTTTATTAGAGATTTTCCCTGCCTCTCCATCAGTAACCCTTCTGATACCACATTTAGGAATATTTTTTTTTATAACATCACTTCCCAGGTAACTTTTAAAGCAAAATAAGCAATAGTAAAACGTTTACTAGAACTATTGCAGAACAGGGAGTAAATTATCTGCTGTGTCACAGTAAGGCAAAATGTTGGACTGAGTGGTCCATACATAAACATTAATGATCACATAAACTTAACCTATTTTATTAATGACTACTACAGGAAAGCCCACACAGTTGTTATGTCCTCTTCTGTCTCTGGATTTACTGGTACTCTGAAATTAATGAGTTCAAAACTATCCTCTTCTGTCCTCTTTAAAACCTGCTAATGGTCACCACCTGGGTTGATCACACTAGACCCTTTTGAAAATTGTGAGACATACTTTACATATCGCTCTACTAATTCCAAGAATTCAAGAAAGTCCCTGTTCTCTGAGTCATTAGTTTTTGGTCCACCATCATTGTTTCCAGTCAAAACATTTGAAAAAGGAAATTACTGCAGCCAATATAATCAAGCATTGGCTTCCTGGGGTTGATATTTTGACACCTTAAATTTTACCATGGAAATTTGTTCTGCTTGAATGAATCAGTAACCTGGAAGAAAAACAAAATGAGTAAAAATACTACAATAGGTTGTGATTCATTTTTTCACCATTAAATGGCTACGTGCATTCATACCATGCTAAAGGACACACTGTGAAGAAGAGCATGGCAAGAAGAAGAAACCCAAACTATCATATGCATCAGCAAATGAGTGCGACACATTCAGCAGGCTTCATAACTCCATCGCTTTGATTTCAGTTGGAAAATAAGGGGAGAAGAAAAAATAGCTGAAGAAGTCATCTTTTCATTGCAGGAATCTCCTAGACAACAGGCAACATGTTTTACTTCTCAGAGTCGTTAAATATTAAACATAGTGAATAACAGGGCCCACTTGCATTTTAAATGAACCCTTTCATTTCAAGCTTGGAACAGAGTACAGGTAGATGTAGACTTACCCTTTGTGTGGGCCAGGAAGATGCAGAGAAGTGAAGAGGCATACTGTCAGTAGGGACAGCATAGTTAACTAATTGCACCTACATCTAAAGCAAAAGGATTTACCATTTTCCCTATTAATACCAATGACATCATAGTAAGGAATGAGAATTTAGAGAATCACTTTTGCCAGAGACGAGCAATCACTCTAAACATGCTTTACTTATACCATTTTGAATCTATGTATTTCAAAGTGCCTACTTGTACAACAGAGGCTTGTCATATCACGACAATGTTTGATACAATATTTGTATCATGACACTGAAATACAGATCACACTTTTAGTGCATGACATAACACAGCAATAGTCGGCAGCCAGCCTCTTTCAACATCTGTCTGCTAAAACATCCAAGGTAATTGCATCAATCACTGGATCCATATAAACAATTTCATGGTTGGTGGCACTGCAGTTTGACGTCCGTCATGTATTAGTTTGCTCATGAGACAGTGTCTCTTACTCTACAGACACAGTCACATCTCTTGCAAACCTTCATAATTCCATCTGTTTTTTGCCAAGCTGGAACTGCAGTCAGGCTCATGAAGTGCAGGGAGATGTGACGCTCACAGTTTAACCATCAGCCATCCAGAAGGTCAGCCTTCTGGGTACACAACACACACCTATATGTAATTCTTCTGCTTCCCAGCACCCCTTGAACATAGAGTTCAGCAGCTCCACTTGGAGAAGATCAGTCCTCAAATGTCAGACTAAATTAGAAGAAAGTCAATACGGAATAGACTTGGAACAAAAAAGTGTTTGTATACTGTACGAACAGCAACATAAATTCCACCCTCCTCTGTTTCCCCCAAGAAACAAAGTATAAAATAACTTTAGACTGAGGAGAGGATTTTAAAATGCCCAAAATTTTGGTTTTACTTGTCAATTACTTTTACTTGGTGGGGGAAAGGAATTAGAAAGTTCAAAGCCATCTGGACATTTTTTAACTGAAAAGTTTCACTTCAAACACAGCAAAATCATTAACATTTTTTTCAACTGGTTAAAATTAAATTTAAAAGGTTATCCAAAGACACTGATATGATTTCAATATTAAATAAGACATCTACATGTGGCACAGAGTTAAGCCAAAATCAATTTTTAATGTTCTCATTTCAACAAAAAGCATTGAAGAGTTATTCTGACTCAATTTCCCTTTTTCAAGTTTCAGTTACCTTGCTGAACCGTGCCTCTCTTCTGCCTAACTCCGTGGAAACAAGACCTGTAAATTCCATACAGTGTATAGATTGAAGCAATTAACGTAGAGAACATGGGTTGGATCAGGGGGTTTCCAGGAGGAGAAAGAAAGTGTTTGAATTTCATAAGTTCACAGTTAGCCTCCTGGAAGGACAAGAGAAAAGAGAATTAAGTGTTCTTACTTTAGAAAATTATATATTCATAACATTTCTTCATGAATCCATCTGGCACACAAGACTGGATTCACAGCTAAAATTGACTATTTAATTTCACTGATTTTTTTGAAGTTACTCAATTTTATACACACTCAGGTAACCCAGGAGACTAAAGCACTTTCTCTTGAAAAACAAAACAAAACAAAACAAAAAACCCTAAAACAAAACAAAAAACACACACAAAAAAAAACCAAAAACAACCAATCAAAAAAAAAAAAAAAACAACCCAAACCCCACAAACAAAGCAAAAGATATTTTCAAAGCACAAGTGAAGTGTTTCTCTTATTTCAGAGGCTGAAGTCATAGGAGCTCAGTAAAAAGAGGAACAGAAATAGAAATCTATTTTTCCTTGCATTGGATTCTTAAACCACAGTGTTGAGGCTTCACAAGTGAGCAAAGTTTCTTTACTGGTGTACTCCTCGGCTGCAAGTTTAGTTATATCATTGTCCTTTATTGACCATAAGCAATATCTGCCCCAATAATCATGTACAAGGATTATAGGACTGTTTCCAATTTTCTTATCTGGAAATTAGCTCTTCCCCACAGAATTTATAATAGTCCAGGCAATTTTAAGCCCCTTGAGAGGCTCAGCCAGGAGGGCTGCCTGGGAAAAGATGCTGCAGACATGGCTGCTCCTCTTGTCCCCACACTCTTCGTCACTAACTGATGCATCACGGCCAGGCAGACAAGCCACGCAGGCATGACTGTAGCATGATGTGCTCTAAGGTACTCACATTTTTGCACAGCTGTATAGATGTGGTCGAGAAAGGCAAGGAAAAACCGTTCTGGCTTTTGACATTTTGAGGAGTGGGGAGGAAGGACTGCGGTTTTGCGGGTTTCCTCTCACCCTTTCTCCACCAGACCCCCACAGTCTGACACCAAGGCTGTTTTCCTATCGTCTGGGTATCAGGAAGGCAGATGTGAGTGCCAGACTGGTTTATGATTTTGCCTAGCAATTATTTTCTATCCTTTGATAACATGCTGTGTCCTCCTTTGTCATGGTCAAGAGCTATCCTGACACAGGCATTCTCTGAAGCAGCTCTGGAAACTGCTATCCACTCCAGTTTGGGGTTTCCACCCTTTTTCTTTAAATATTTATATTGGAACAACCTGCTGAAATATGCAAGTGTATACAGAAAAAGCCTTTAAACTGGAGAATACAGCCAGTTCTACTTCTTTCATCTATTTGTTTTCTTGCTGCAGTAGACAGACGCAAAAATACAGGGCTGGAAAGAGTTCAGACTTAAACCACTGGAACATGGTAATGAGTTTTTTCCATTACTAGATAGAGTTTATCTGTTATTTTGGAAAAAGATTCTCAAACCCTAGCAGTTAAAGGTTAGTGGAAGGACAGTAAAAATGAGATAAAGCCTGCTTTTAAAAAGCCCCTGCTTCCAGAAAGCCCCTGCTTCAACTATTTTATGGAACTACACAACAAACTCTAAAGAGAGGAAAAAAAAAAAAAACCAAGAAAAGATAATGACTGCAATTTTCAGAAACAGCTGTGGAACGTATATAACTTGGAGAGGAGTAACAATTTAGAAGAAGCTTTAAGCATTCTTCATGGTCCCCTAAGCCCAGGCCAGATGTGCCTGTTCAGTCATGTAGCATAACTCACAGCATTCTGCTATAAATTAAGCCAGTTACCAATGACCCCAGGACCTGCCAAAGATCATTGCAAGCAGCAGGTGTTCCCTTCCAGCATAATTCTCTCTACCTGTTGCCAAGATGAAAAGAGAATGAAGTTGATGCATTCACTCAATTTTGAATTGCTTGTAAAACCGTGGTCCTTTATTACATCTAGATAGAGCAAGATACATTCGTATCATCTAAAGCGTTCATTTTTACATCTAGATAGAGCAAGATACATTCATATCACCTAAAGCGTTCATTTCCTTTCATCATCCTTTGAGTTACTCCTATTATCTGCACAGTGTTTCCTCATTAGCTACTTTCCACTTGCTACATAGAAGTCCCATTACTTGTAATGACTACGTATCTGCTGCATGATTTCATTGATATTTGTCTTGAGATAAAAATGATCACTGTTTCATACAAACCAAAAGTTTACAGTTTTCTCTCTCAATGTAGTTCCTTTAGTAAATCCTTTGTAGGCTCTCAGGACACCCAATTCAAGGTGATGCTGATGCCACTGTTCAGCTGATACGCTTTTCAGAAGTCCTTTGATCATAACTGTGAAAGTAGCTGAAATCTGATTTACTTTCCTCTTGTTCCTGTTAGAAGTGTGATAAAAGAAATGTGTGACATTAAACACCCACCTCCCTGGAGTTCTCCATTCAGAGCGCCCCAGCATGACTGTACAATGTTTTACATATTCAACTTCTACTTCACACACAAAAATACACGTGCTTATCCTGGTGAGACTTCTTTGAATGCATATCCTTTACTTAGGAAACTCTGGAGTTCAGCTGTCCCTCATGAATCACTATTATAAGATATTGACGGTGTGAAGCATTAAGCATGTTCCTCTGTCATCTAGCAGCTGATGATAACAAACTTTTAATTCACCTGTTCGATTATGTGGACTGGCAGACTAAAGGTGTTAGGCGCCTAGCTCAGTGGGCTTCAGTGGGCACTCAACACCAATATTACACACACATCTTACATTCTTTGGTATGTCCTAACCAAACTACCATTTTACAAGCAAATTCCTATTGCTTAAGTCATAGGCTTCAGATTCTTGACTTATGAACAACACACAACAGCTACATAGATCATATACAGCACAGAAATTTAAAAAGGCAACACCTATTAGTATCTAAATCTTGGGGGACCTACTCCAAGCTAAACAAGACACTTGATGATATATATCCTTCTGTTTTGTCACTTATTTAAAACTTTTTAGGCAAAAGATCTGGAGATCTGATCCAACCTAGCAAGATGGGATCCACAGAAATAAAGATTACATAAGTACATATGAAAACTGAAGCCCTCCACACCCTTTCCCTCCTGCTGGAGAGTAAGCATTTTAGGTTTTGGGGGGTTTTTTGTTTGTTCATTTTTTTTTTTCTGGAAGAGAAACTGAGATTGAAATAATCAGAGTGATCAGCCAAGCAATCGTTATTGATAAAAATTATAATGACCACAGCAATATTTCTCATCATTTCCCTGGATATATTGTAATACAATTGATAACAGAAGAAATAATACCAAGACTGATTCCAGTATGCATTTCTACAACCTTTTCAGAAAGTCATGTTAGAAGGACCCTTGTGAGATATTGACAGTTCCATTTATAAATATGTATAAAAAATTCCTTATATTCATGACCTTAGGCTTTTCAATAAGTTAGATGGCCAAGGATACCTTCAGAAATTTGCTTCAAATCATTTTCTTTTCTCAGATCCAGCATGCAGCCTTTCATCTAAATAAAATGACTTGATACATTCTGCAGCTAAACACAGCCTGCTGCAATGGCTCAGGGGAAGATTTCTGAGAAGAGAAATGCACCAGTCCCACCATTCCCACTGTTCATAACATAAATTGTGAGAGACATTCACAAACATTAATTCTTATTAATGTAGAAAAGCTAACTGCTATAAGTATCCTTCACAGCCAGTGGAAAAAAAAAAAATGCTGGTTTCGTATTATTTTACCTAATATTTTTCAGAACTGCAATATTGGAAGGCATAATTTTTATCAAAGTGCAGTGCTGGTATAGAAAAGATCCAAACAAAACCTTTAGAGGCTTGTGGGAAAAGGAAAGAACCTTCAGCAGAGATGTGTTAACATCATATAAATCACCCAAGAATGGGAGCAAATGCAAGTATGATTTAAAAAATGCATAAATTCAAATAACAGATAAAATAAAAGCCCCAGGACACAGAGAAAGCAACCTCTTTTTCTTAAAATTTGGAATCTGCCAGATCATAGCAGTGCTGGGCTCAGTGCCATTAACACCACGCCAGACTAGGCAAAAATCCTCCTCCTCAGGCAATGATTGGCAGGTTCAACAAAGGAAGTCCTTTGAAAGTCAAATGAGGTAATATAAATACCCCAAGAAATCAGAAAAGGCCAGGAAACTATTTATAGCCCATCCATATATTTTTAAATTTATGAATCTGACTTACCCGTAAGTCAAACAAAGTCAATGAGCCCATTACTTTAGCAGTACCTGAGCAAAGCCAAAGACTATGCTGAGATTGCTTGAACTGATTCAAATCTTAGTATTACCTCTTGATCAATTATTGTGCTCTCTACCAAGAATTATGCACTTTGAATTCCCAAAGCAAAACTTAATTACATCTCATCTGCTTTTCACTTAGATTGAAAGCAATACATTTATTCAAGATAATATCCAGCTTATCTGATTGTTGTGCCAATTTCTCATTCTAATTGAAATAACCTCTTTGCTCCAGAATTTCACAAATAAATTCCTCAAATTGCCTTCTCCTAATACAAACTTGCCCTGTAGTTTTTGCCATTACAAAAAAGAAATGCAATGCAATGTTGCACATCCATTAAGAGGTATTAATAACAGAAATATTCAAGACCCTTGTGAAGGGGAGAAAAGCTACCCAGAATACAGTCACTCTGATGAGAAACAATTCACCCTATAAAGTTCATATGAAGTTTTCACTCAGAAAAGAGTGAAGCCTTTATGCAGCAACTACAAATTGAAAACTATCTTGTCGGCTGCAACAAAGATAGCCCAAAGTAGAGATGAATGGATTCTGCTGCTATACTACTGAACCCAGGCAGATAGTTAGACCAAACCAAGATCTCCGGAGTTGATATCACAGTAATACCAAAGTGCCAAAAAAGGCAACAGATGCCTAGATGCTAATGCAAAGGCTGTCAGGCAAGTCTTACCTCCATCTCCGGCTCTGCCATGCCAAAATTCAATAGTTGCCAAGAGCTCCACTGGATAGTACAAGAATGGGATTTTGGACACTGATGTGCTAGAGGAAAGGAGAATGGAACATAAATGAAGGAAACATGCTTGAAGCCTAAATTTATAGTATGGAATCTCATGATCTGTTCTTTACCTTAGCAAAGTTTGCACATTATCCTACTCCAGACTGTCTTTGTTCTGTCATGTCCTGAGCCTTTTGCAAGAAAGGAAAGGTTACTTAAGCAAAGCAGGGTAAGAGCTTATTGATGTAAGCAGAAGGCTATCATTAACACATTACAAAGATTACAATAAATGACTTGGGCATTCTTTGTGGTAGTTGAGCTTCTTGTGAGATTGTCTGTACCTGAGAGATCGTGGAAGTCGCATAAAAGAGGTCTATCAATCTTATTTACAACATTGCTTGGGTTCAATAGCGTATCCGTAATAATCCTCTCTTCTTTCTCAACTTTTACAAGGGAAAAAAAACTCTTATGTCTGCTACAGCTTTCATTATATTTTAAAAAATATATTTTACATTGTTTTCTCACAAATCATGTAGGAAAGTATTTGCACAACCTAAGGCTGAAGTCTGATGTGCTGGTGTTCGAAATCACTTATTAGCAGGATAGTTGTCACCAAACAAGGGTTCAGAAATGTTCTTGGCAACAGGCAACATCATATCAGATTGTGAGCTAGCGTAAATGGTAACCCAGACTAAGCTACACCTACTGACACTTCTATTCAAGTATGTCTCATAAGCAGCACATAATGCTTCTTAGCTATATATCTTAGAATCACAGAATACTTAGGGTTGGAAAGGACCTTAAGATCATCTAGTTCCAATCCCCTTCCATGAGCAGGGACACCTCACACTAAACCATATCACCCAAGGTTCTGTCCAACCTGGCCTTGAACACGCCAGGGATGGAGCATTCACAACCTCCCTGGGCAACCCATTCCAGTGCCTCACCACCCTTACTGTAAAGAATTTCTTTCTTATATCCAATCTAAACTTCCCCTGTTTAAGTTTGAACCTGTTTCCCCTTGTCCTATCACTACAGTCCCTAATGAAAAGTCCATTCCCAGCATCCTTATAGGCCCCCTTCAGATACTGGGAGGCTGCTATGAGGTCTCCACGCAGCCTTCTCTTCTCCAGGCTGAACAGCCCCAACTTTCTCAGCCTGTCTTCATATGGGAGATGCTCCAGTCCCCTGATCATCCTCGTTTCCCTCCTCTGGACTTGTTCCAACAGATCCATGTCCTTTTTATGTTGAGACCAGAACTGCACACAATACTCCAAGTAAGGTCTCATGAGATCAGAGTAGAGGGGCAGGATCACCTCCTTCGACCTAATGGTCACACTCCTTTTGATGCAGCCCACAACATGGTTGGCTTTCTGGGCTGTGAGTGCACACTGCTGGCTCATGTTCAGTTTCTCATCAACCAACACCACCAAGTCCTTCTCTGCAAGGCTGCTCTGAATTTCTTCTCTGCCCAACCTGTAGCTGTGTCTGGGATTGCTCCCACCCAGGCACAGGACCTTGCACTTGGCACGGTTAAACTTCATAAGGTTGGCATCAGCCCACCTTACAAGTGTGTCAAGGTCCCTCTGGATGGCATTCCTTTCCCTCCAGCATATCAACTGAACCACACAGCAAACTTGCTGAAGGCGCACTCAATCCCACTGTCCATGTCAGCGACAAAGATGATGAACATGACTGGTCCCAACACAGATCCCTGAGGGACACCACTCATTACTGATCTCCACCCAGACACTGAGCCATTGACCACAACTCTTTGTGTGTGGCCATGCAGCCAGTTCTTTATCCACCAAGTGGTCCATCTATCAGATTGATGTCTCTCCAATTTAGTTTAGTAAACTTAATTTTATCTTAATGGTTCCATCATCCCAAGTCCTACCTCTTCACCAACATGAGACAAGTACAGCTCAGAGGAAATTATAGTGTGCCTGAAGGATATCAATAAAAGGTATATATAATAAAGCACTAGCAAAAATATGCTCTGTGTTCAAACTCAGATGAACTCTGCTTACTCCCATAAACTCCCTCAGGTTGCCTTGCACAGATTGCAATACCAACAGGAATGATCTGATCTGATTTGTGAAACCCACTCACAGTATGACTGACAGACACCGATAGATACAAACACCTTTTTTTGACAATATATGTAGGACTTGAGTATAATCTTGTGCCCAAGTTAATCTGAGCAGGCTCAAATTTAATCATTCTCAGAAAATCCAGAGTTGTTATTATCTGTGTAAATACACCTTTATTTTCTGCTCTCAGGTTGGTAGGGACAGCATCCTACTACTGCTATTTAAAACCCTCTAAATAAAAAAAAATAAGACCATGCACAAAAAGAATTTTGAATCTTGAATATCAAAAAAAAAAAAAAAGTGTGCACAAAAGACCTAAAGTCTCAAAAATTCTTTGAAAAGTTTTATATAGGATTGCGTATGAGTAAGGCACAGTCTGCTCAGGTAACTCACTGACACCAAAAGGGCAAATTGGAAAAGTAAGAGTCAATGAATTAAACCTTTATTCTGTAATTTTTCAGTTCCTCCAAGAAAGCAGAAACAATTCAAGAACTCACATTTTCCAATGTTTAAATGTGTGTGGAACACTAACGTGTAGGTGACACTATCTGCACATATATATACATGCATTATGTTGTCCTACATATGTGTCCTACATATATGTCCTACGTATACATAAAACAACATATGCGTCCGAGCCAGAGATTCTTTAGTAAAAGCTAAGACATAAAACCCACAAAATTTCAACTCCCAGAGGACATTTTCCAGGACTACTGTTCAGGAAATGAAATTACAAGTTTACTTATTCACTGAAAATACTTAGGTGGAAGTTACTGAGAAGCAGTAACTGAAGCCCAGATTATGTCATTTTTTAACTGACATTTTCCAGAGTTTAACAACATTACACTGCCGTGCTTTTGTTTCTAAGGCATGGACAGTGCAGCAAGCTGCCAAGAATCATCTTTGCTAGACGTAATGATTACTTGGCCTCCATCTGAGCAGGAGCAACTTAGCAAACCCTTCCATGACGCAGGCGAGTAGACCTGATGACCAATGAAGGATTTCTTCCAAATATCTTTCTGTGATTATATGCTGATTAAATACCTGTGTGTATTGCCAGCTTATTTCCCCATTTTGCTCCAAATTAATAGACAGGCTTTCATCTGCATCATTTTATGACGTCTAATACTATATCAGGACCTATGAATAACTGTGCATCTCCTTTGTGTGTCTGCCTTGCTCACTTCTGCTTTTTTGGGGTTTTTTTGTTTGTTTTTTTTTTCCTCTCTGGCTTTCTAATAATTTACTCTCTCCATCATGTTACAACCATAGCTTTTGTATGCAGACCTCCCACCCGGCCCCTGTCCTACATTCCCGTGATACATTCAAACATCTGCCAAAAAGATGCCTTTGATAAACTGCAAAAAAACCCCAACGTTATCACAGGCAATTAGAATTCAATTGCTGCCCATGACATTTAAGTTTAAATAAACTTTGGAGGAGCAGCTGGCCATTGGAGAGAAATTTGAGAAGCAGCTTAAGGAGACCAGCAA